TCTGCCATGAATGTTCCTCTGCAGTACTGGTACTTCCCACTGTAGCCAAGTGGTGGCAGGCTTGGTGACAGGGCAGACCTGTGATCTACAGGGGGCACCCTGATGGAACCATTTGGAAGTTTTCCATCAATCCTGCCCCTGAAGACTTCAGCAGCCTCCAATAATCACTGTCTTGATATAAGATACAATTAAGCATCTCAAAGCATAATTTCTTCATTCTAACATCCCACTTTCATTTATTAGTGCGATTTTTCTATAACCAACACATTTCCACCATTCACTTGAAGTAAAATCCAAACAGAAAAGGCAATATAAATGTATAATATTTATCTTTTATTTATGCATTTTCAAAACAAGTCACTGGTTCTCAAACTTCCAAAGGTGACCAAAATAGCTTTTGAGAGACAGCATTCTGAGCACTCTTGTGCCTGTTCCTTGGTGAATCTTGAACTCCTATACCTCTCCTTTGGTGCTTTTCCATTACTCATTTGCTGCACACATGCAGATGTGTTTGATGCTCCAAAATACTTTTCTTTCCAAGCATACACAGTCTGCTTTGGAAGGAGGTAGAAACATGGGGCCTGATGCTTCCGTTTTCTTCCCCAGAAAAGCTTTGCCTATTTAAGGGGAAATGAAGATGACCATGGAAAGAATGAAGCCAAACTGTGAATAGGTAAGAGGTACCTACAGCCTTTTGTGTTGTTGGTGTGGGTACTCTTCTCACAGCTTGTGCACTGACTTCCTTTGGGGGGATTTTTACATCCGTTGCAAGCACCAAGCTCCACACCCTGCTTCAAATGCTCCTTCCCTCTGCATCCCAGCTCTCTTTTCTTTTAAATTCTCCTCAAAATTACCTGAAATCTTCCACAGGAGAAGAGCAATCTCAGGAACTCATTTCCACCAAGGTAAATGCACAAAACCACTTAGCTCTGCCTCGTTCCTTTTCTTCCTAAGCCACGCTTCCAGGTGCAGGATTTAAGTTGCAGAAGAAGTCAATTTGGGGGTCCAAGAGAACACAGGCTTAATTGCACTTTTTCAAAAAAATATTAAGTTTTCCTCTTTTGCTATTTTTGTTCAGGTTTTTCTTAAAACTTCTAGTCTGCCTCCCTTACTTGGTTGGAATAATCCAACCCTTACTTGCTTCATGTATGTTCAGATTCTGTCTTCTTTGTCAGAATAGTCACATGCTTTTAGAATTTGAGTAATTTCTATCACTAAGTACCTTATGAAAATGCTTTTACTGTTATCCTGCGCTCTTACTCATTTGTTGTACCGTTGTTTAACCCTTTTATGGGCTCCAACTAACATTTCCCTACTAAATTATAGATTCTTCAATAGCAGGGATGGTATGCTATACTTTACATTGTACCTAGCAAGCTACAGGTGCACCTTGTGTGTTTGTATCAATGCTGTAGAAAAATATCCGTTACTGTTTCCAATGAGAATAAGGGCATAAAAGACAATTCTAGAACATTCCAGTAATTACTAGGCTGGTTAGCATTCAGTGTAATATTTACTTTGAACAATCTAATATTACTTAAACTTCCTGTTTTTCCATCTCTCCTATTAAAATATAATGCATTTCTGTGTAATCTGGCTGGTGTATTTTAGGATATATGTAATACTCAGTACAGCCTGTGCTATCTGAATTGCCAAAGAATTTAATTAGACCACCAGCATGAGCTAAGGTACAGACAAACAATGATTCATCGTTTCATACAGTGCCAATATCACTTCCAAGCTGATATGCCCTTCCAGGGGGGACGTTCTGAAATAGATAACAAGAACCTCAAAATGGATAATACCCTTCTTCCCAGCAACTTCACCTCTGTGAAGTAAACCTAAGAAAACAATCAGACATCTACTCAGAAAGATCAATGCACATTGATACATATCGTTGATAGCTAAAACAGTGAAAACTGAAAATAACCAAAAGTTCAAATACAGGAAAATAAACCATGATAGATGTGTACAATGAACTATTGTCTTCATCAGTTTTCCATCACTGTGACAAAATATCTGAAATAAACAATTTAAATAAGAAAAGGTTTATTTTGGCTCACAATTTCACAGACTTCGGTCCATGGTTGACTGGCTCTTGTTTTTAGCCCTGTGGTGAGGCAGAAACATCAAGGCAGAAGGGCATGGTGGAGGAAAGCTGCTTGCTTACCTTATGGCAGCCAGGAAGCAGAAAGAGAGGGAAAGAGACAGGGAGGAAGGGGCCAGGCCAAGACAGACCCCCAAGGGCACACCCCACAGCCTATTCCCCGAAACCAGTTTCATTTCCCAAGTTCCCATAGTTTCCCAATAATGCCACAAAATAATGATCCAGTCACCTTGCAAAAGCCCCCAACACATGGCCTTTCTGGGACATTTTAGATCAAAACTGCCATGACTATCAAGTAAAAGTAAATATTTTTAAAACAGTAAGTAAAATATACACATAAAAAATGGCTAAAACACTCTGAAATCCAGGGTGGATGTGAGCATTATTGGTGACTTTTATTCTTTATGATTTTATAGTTTATGATTTTACGAGCTTTTCTAAATTATCTACAATTAATAAATATTATTCTTAAACCCCAAACTTCTCCCTATAAAATATCTGAGCTACATGGCAGATTTATGATAGGTATTTTTAAATACATACATAGCTAAGACCTAGCAATTGTACTTCTAAGTGCATATGTTCACCAGAAACATGCACAGTGAGATTCAAAGCATTTTGGGGAGTGACAAATGTTTTGGAACTAGACAGAGGTCAAACAGTGTTTTGAGTCTGCTAAAAGCCCCTGGATTATATACTTTATAATGGATGATTTTATAGTATGTGAATTTCATCTCCATGGGTAAAATAAATTTTCAGGTAAAAGAGTATTCAGAGCAGTGCTATTTGTAATATATAAAAAAAGAAATAATCCACATGTCTAACAAAAGCAAAATGATCAATTCCTGGTGGTATAATTAAAACAATAGACTGCTACGCAGCAATAAAAATCAAGCAAGCATTGCTAGATGTAATTGCATAGAAGAGTATCACACAGCCCCAAGTTAAAGCAGACAGCACAAAGGCCATACTGTAGGAATCTGTGTATATGGAAAGCTTTAAAAAGACTGAAGTCATTTATACTGCCAGAAGTCATTGTTGTGACTACCTATGGCGAGATTAGTGACAGCAAGTTAGTGTGAAGTGGGGATCCATGTGGTTGGAATATTCTACTGGATTATCTGAATAATGATTGCCTTAGAACTGTGCAAGTTCAAGGCAGTGAAATTTATCCAGTTGTACATTTAAATATGTATGTTATTAGAAATACTTTGTTGTGTTCACTTTTATCTGGCCACCTGCAAATTCTCCAGCCCCTGATACCTCACTGATGCCAAGTATCTTTTTTATTTAATGAGATCTTTTTCTTCATTTAGTTATAAACTTGGACTCTAGTTTGATAATTTCCAAATCTCAACATCCCATCCTCCCATGCACTAGTTTAACATTTAGTAGTTGGATTTCAGTATGCCCCAGGCACAGGACCAGGTGATACAGAGTCTGCAGGGATCATCGCACTGGGAACCCAGAAAGACAACACATAACACACTGAATAAAGTCTTTAATGTCCATCTAGGTGTGGAACTTGCTCTATAATTTGCCCATAAAAATTTTTGTGTAACTTAAAGGCATCAAAATGTCCCCAGTGACCCTTCCCTTCCCCTGATGAAGAGCTCTGTTTCACAGGTAATTCTGCTCGTGAGTTAAGTAAAATAGGCTTCCTGAGTTTATTAATGGTAGCTTTGTGTTTGCTTTTCTAAAAAATTAAATGTATACCTTATAAATTGATACTTTAAAATCCATGTATTTCACTATGGAGTTGTGAGGGTTAATCTTGATTGTCAACCTGATTGGCTTGGAGATGCCCAGGAGGTTAGTAAAGCTCACGGTGGTCATGGGGGTGTTATCCTCGGTACTATATCTGATCTCTCACTCCTTTCTCTCTGGTCCTCTCCTCTTCTCCTGCTCTTTGCTTCCTGCAAGCCATGAAGTGAGCTTTCCTATGCCATGCCCTTCTGCCATGATATTTCTGCCTTGGAGCCAGCTAACCATGGACTGAACCTTCTGAAGCCCTGAGCCAAAATAAGCTTTTCTTTCTCTAGGTTATTTTCACGTACTTGGTCACAGAGATATGAAGCTGCCTAATACAAGAATTTTCTTATTTTCCCCTCAATTTGTGTGGCATTATCAAATTTTCTGAAATTTAAAAATTCTGGAAAGATGTCCTATAAAGTATCCCAAATCTTACTTAAGAAGTTATTTTAGAACACATACATACTGTATGTACTGTATGTACTGTACTTAACACAGTCATTTTATCTGCTTGAGATAAAACTGGTGTCATTAAATTAGGCTAATTTTTCCAAGATATCTGATATATAGAATGTTTTTCATTAGCTTAATGCAACAAATAATAGAGATGCTCTTCTATAGGTTATTCAAGTTTAAATGTCAGTTTCTAAATTTTCAATATTATGTGGCCAAATATCTCACTACATGGAAAATAATCTGGCACCTGGATCCAGGTAAATAATGAAGATTTTAAGAACAAAACTGGTGATTAATACCACCAAAGAACAAAAGCAATAATTCATTTGTAGTGCTAATTAAATCACTGGGGTTTGTATCAATTTCCCCAAGCTTTTAAAGGTGAAAGAAATGTAAAAAAATGTAAAGAAATATGTGAACAAATGAGAGGATGGCATACTCTCACTTAAGGCTATTTAAAATTCTAAAATAAATTTTAAAATACAATTTAGGACATGGATATGCAAATTTTATGTATCACACAAGTGTGTGTATAAGTGTGCACATGCATGTGTGTATATACATCCTCTTTTCAGAAATCTCATATGCATCCTTAGGACATATCAACTACCTTCTATTCCAGAATGTTAAGTATTTCTAATCTTATCATAAATCATCCATTTTCTAGATTTTACCAAGTGCTTGTCTTTTATTTTTTTTCTCCTCGTTTGTCCTATCAGCATAGACTTCATGTTACTGAGTGCTTCGAAGCCTTTTATTTGTTATCTTTCCTGGGCTGCATGTAACACAAATTGTAATGCTTACCTTTCCATTCTTAATGAAAGGTGTTATCAGGGGCTGGGGATTTAGCTCAGTGGTTTCATCGCCTGCTGCACAAGCTCAAGGACCTGAGTTCGATCCCTGGTACCAAAAAAAAAAAAAAAAGAAAGGTGTTATCTATCCTATACTCTTTAGGAAAATTGAAATCTTGCTTCCCATCTGTATCAGTCAGTGTTTACTAGAGAAATATATATAATACAAGGTATATAAATACATAAGAATTTACAAGATCAGCTTACCATGGCCACCCACAGAGTCTGGTGTAGAAGAGTGGAAAAGGTCTTTGCACTGGGGATCTGAAGGATCAACTCGAAGGCCTGGAGCTCCATGTGGTGGTGCCCCATGTGAGTCTGTATCAGGAGGCCAAAGGGTCTGTGCTGGAAGGTGAAGAGTCTGCACTGGAAGCCAGGAGATAATATCCAATGTGAAAGCAAGGACTAGATCTCCTCCGAAGAAACAGAAGCAAGCCTTCCTTTTCTGTTTTCCTTTCACACCATTCTGGCAATAATCCTCCCTAGGCTGGGTCTTCCACAGCCAGAACTATGCTGAGCCAATTTAGTTGAAGGTTACTCAAGTTGACACAATCAATCAACTATCACATTATCTGAGTTAAATAATGTGATGTCATGAACTATACAAAGTGTGTACCTGTCTTCCAGGTGAAAAGATGCCTTTACTGCAAATAATTATCTAAGATTTCTGTAATTTCAGAACTCCAGTTCTTTCTTGCCACATTTTATCCCAGATCTCTTTTCTATTCTCCTGCAAAATACTCTGCCCATTCATGGGATGCTATTGCATTGAACTAAGATTTTAACATAACTAGAAATGCTACTATTTTCAAAAACTTTGGGCAGAAATGTGAACAATTAGCAATTGGTAACACTGATCCCCTGGCTCATTGGCCATAATTAACCCTGTTTCCTGCACCAGAATAGATAGGGAGGCAAGCTGAGAACAAAGATATTTGGAGTAAGAGGAATTTTTGACAACTTGTACCTCATACCATCAGCATAGGTTATGTGACCCAGTCAGTTCTGTTCCCAAAATATGAATCTTTTCTTTATTCCTAAAATCACTGCAATAATCTAAACAAGTGTTGTGTTTTGTCTGAATTAGGCCCATGCTTTCTAGTTGCCTTGCTACATCTAGACTTTCCCTACTTATCACACAGTGGCTTCTTACAGACTCAAAGATACTTAAATTTGGATCACATCCTTTAATTTTCCTTCATTTAGAGCCACCCCTCTTTGCAGATCTTGTGTTCCAGTGATGGCAGGTGGCTCACTATTTCTTTCTTTTTTGGTACCAGGGATTGAACTTGGGACCTTGCGCTTACAAGGCAGGCGCCGGAACCACTGAGCTAAATCCCCGGCAAACAATTAAGTGATTTAGTCAACTTATGTGAACTAAATTTAGAAATAGTAATTCTTTTTTTGTGTGTGGTACCAGGGATCAAACTGGGGACCTTGTGCTTGCGAGGCAGGCAATGGCACCACTGAGCTACATCCCCGGCCCTGTCTCACTATTTCTTGAGTGAGCTATTTCTTCACACTCAAGAGACACGCATTTGCTCTGCTTAGAGAGCCATCACCTTCCTCCCTTCTCTCACTGATGAACTTCTAGCAAACCTTCAATCTTATTTCTCATTTCGCATCATGGACCATCTCATCCTTCCAAGGTAGAATGAATGACTTTCTCCTCTGTTTCTGTGATCACTTCTAAGCCATAATATTTTATAGTATAGGTACAGTGGTGTGTTAGTCAGCTTTCCATTATTGTAACAAATACTGAAGCTGTCAACTTATAAAGAAGAAAGGTTTATTTGGTTCATAGTTTTGGAGGTTAAAGTTCATGATTGATTGGCACCATTGCTTGGGGCAAGGCAGCAAATCATAGTGGGGACCATGTGATGGAGCAACACCACTCACCTCATTGCCAGAAAGTGAGGGAAGAGGAAGGGCTGGGCTCCCATAACCTCCTTTGAGAGCACTTCTTAATGTCTTAATGACCTCCTACTATGCCGCCCCCCAAAGTTCCACCACTTCCCCAGAGTGCCACCCTGGGGGAACACATAGAACACTTAAGATCCAAATTATTCCAGGTGCTAATTACTTATGAGACTGGTGACCCCTCTCATTGTGAGTTCTTTGCTAAAGCATTCACTCATTCACTGTGGTGTCAGATGCATAGCAAGAAGATATTATTCCCTTAACCAACAATCCAGATCCAAGGCACTAGAGGTACACTGGTGAACATGACCTATTCCATGTGTTTAAAGAACTTCCAGCCCAGTAATGAAGTGGTCAATAAATGGTTATTGAATCAAATGGAATTTCTAGTTTTGGTTTTCTGAGGAATCTCTACACTGATTTCCATAAAGACTGTACTAGTTTATATTCTCATCAATGAGGGTTCCCTTTCCCCACAGCCTCACTAGCATTTGTTATTATTTGTTTTCTTGATGACAGTCACTGTTTTGGGAGTACAGTGGAATCTCAGTGTTATTTTAATTTGCATTTCTGTAATGCTCAGTGGTACTGAGCATTTCTTCATGTAAATATTGGCCATTTGTACTTCTCCCCCTTCTAGGTATCTTCCTGAAAGAGTTAAAGACATCATATTTTTATGAGAAACCCAATTTATAAATATAAAGAGGAAAATAAAACATAGATAGTAGGAATGAGGGAGATAGATTTTTCTCAAATGGGGAGGGCATTAAGAGATGGAGGGAGGGAGAGGGGATGGAAAAGGAATTAGGATGTGCTTTATACATGTACCAACTCTACACAAGGAATGGAATCATTATGTACTAAAAACATGTACTAATACAAAAATTAAAAATACAAACATATAATAAAATAAATGGCTATTATATTGTTTTACTAACATTTATCTACATCACAATGGGCTAGCTTGCATGGTTACAGACAGAGCCTCTCAACTCAGGCTTCATGTGTGACTATAGACGATTTCCTGTTTTGTGCAGTGGCTACTCATTACATTGTACCGGCAATGGCCCATGGGTCTCTCACAACCCTGGGAGCACTCTGCCCTCTGGTGTCTCTAGGAAGCTGACAGGCTCCACCCAAGAACCACTTCCTATTTCCCATCTTGCCTCAAAACAAGCAGTAGTTACAGGAAGAGCATGAAGGAGAATTTGAAAGCAGTAAGGAAAAATAGGTGACTTGGTATATTAATTATTTCAAGCTAAAATCACACTGAGGAACTGTAAATTCAGAAAGAGCCATTTGAGTTATCTTTCCCTACAAGCAAAAAGTTATAAATAGTCTTTGGGAAGCAGACTGGTGCAGTGGTACACACCTGTAATCTCAGCATTGTAGGGGGCTGAGGCAGGAGGATACAAGTCGGAGCCCAGCCTGGACAACTTAGAGACTAGTGAGGCCCTGTCTCAAAATAAAAAATAAAAAAGTCTGGGGAAGTAGCTCAGTGAGAAGGTCCCAAGTTCAATCCTAAGTAACACACACGTGCGCGCGCACACACACACACACACACACACATGGACATGACTTGGTTCCTTCACCTACTATGGCTAGAAAATAGCCTTGATCACCAGACTGATACATAATTGGGGGTGCAGTGAACTCAATCAAATTATAACCTTTGCCTCTCAATAACTCCTACATCCCTCTCTATCTCTTAATAACATCCCCAGAATTGACTACTACAGTCCAGCTATCCTTTTGTCCTGTTAACTTTCCACAAATTTATTGTTCTTTGTCTGAAATGCATACCCAGCATTGGGCTTGGCATATAGCTCAGTGGTAGAGCACTTGCTAAACATCTGTGGGGCCCTGGATTCTATACCCAGCAGTCTCTGAAAAGTCTATTAGCATCATGCTGTCTTCAGACTGCACTCACTATGGTTTTTTTTTTTTTTTTTGTACCAGGAATCGAACTCTGGACCTTGCGCTTGCGAGGCAGGTGGCGGCACCACTGAGCTAAATCCCCGGCCCTGCACTCACTATCTTATGATTTCCACATAACTACAGATTTAATAAAATCTTCATGCTTTTCTCTAATTAATGATCTTTTATGTTAACTGAATTCCTAGATCCAACCAAAGAGCCCACTTAAGAGCTAAGTGAGGTAAGAGGGCCTCTCTCTGTGCCCTACCATCTCATTCATGTAGCTTGTATGCAGTCACTGAGCCCTGGATTCTGATGCTAAGAAAACCCCTGGCCAGCTGTAGTGGTACATGCCTAGAATTCCAGCTACTTGGGAGGATCAGAGATCAAGGACAGCCTGGACAGCTTAGGGAGGCCCTGTCTCAAAATAAAATTTTAGATGGGGCTGAAGATGTGGCCTACCACTCTTTGTGTTCAATCCCCAGTAACAGGTGAGGGAAAGGTGCCTCTGGAAAGCTCCTTCCTTCAAGAAACTGTAATATTTTCATTGGTTTACAAATTCTATTTGACAACAATGGGAATGATCCCTTTTTTTTGCCTTCCTTATTGAACTGATAGAGGATGCTATTCTTCCCACACCAGGTTGATTCTAGCTGTTAATGCTAATAGAAGACATCCTCGCCTGTGAGCTGGTCCTTCAAACAGTGCTTTTTGCTTTTTTTTTTTAGCAGAGAACAGTATGGCAACATCAAACATCCAGAAACGAATTTTCCTTCTTCTCAAACACCTCTCAGAATACAGCTGTCTTCCTGAACATTTTAAGGCACCTTGTAGCTTTAGAAATAACTCCTATTCTGAACCCAAATTGAGCACAGACCACATGAAATAATCATTCACAAGTCCTGTAAAATACACACTGTCATAACTGCTCAAGTATGCTGTACTCATGCTACTTATTTCTACAAATGGTAGAGTTGCACACACTCACAGGCAAGCTGAGAAATAGTGAGTATGCCTTTCATCCTTAAAAGGAAGAGATCTTGTTTGGAAAGAGGGCAAATGAACTCTTCTCTCATAGGCCCAAGTCCCGTTCCCGTCCAGGAGCCTTGATGAGATGCTAGACCCAGCAAGCTAAGTTCTAGGCCATCCTACCAAGAAGAATGAAGGAGGGTGGAGGAGAATGACACCAAAACTTAAAGTTATTATTGAGATTTGATGCCCAAACTCCTCACATTCAAATGTAATAATACAGAGTTTTAAATTAGCCAAGGATTCCAATGGGGGCAAGAAGGGTTGGAACATCAGAAAGACTGTTTTCCTAGTCGAAGAACCACAGTAGAGAACACGGACAGCTTGCCTATTCATGCAAAAGAACAGTTGTGAAAGGTATGGCACTACAAACGATGAGAATGACAGTGACAACCAGGAGAGAACAATTCTCCTAAGATGGGCCAAGCAGCCCCTGGGCCTCTTCTGAAGATTCCTCCCCTTGCTCCTCAGGGCAAGCCGGCAGAGCCCAATCTTACCGCTGTCAAATCTGCTACAAGGTATGTCATGTGATACCAATACCAGAGGAAAATAGGAAATGCAAAATGTGTCATTAATAGGCAACTCGAACTGTCTAAAGATGAAATCCAGAATGTGAAGGGAGAGGTTTGCTTTCATCTCTTTTATCCTGAGACTATTCCCTTTAGCTTTGAATCTAAGAGCAGAACTCTATTACAGGTAGAAACAGAAACACTGCTGTGCCTTGAAATCCTGGAAATGGATTATGGACTTCCAGGAAGCGAGCTTGAAACCAATTCTTATCTCTGCCTGTCTCTTCAGTGTCACAGTTTGTTTAGTCAAGAGAAGCTGAAGAGAACAGGGTGAGGCCTGCTTGTCTTGCTGTACCAGAAGAGGATAATGAGGTCTCCTCACTGCGTGCTTCCTTGGGGCTGGAGAACATTGCTTATTTATAGCCCGGCTCTGATGACTTGGTGGGTGTCTTGGTGTCCGTAATTATCTTTAATTTTAGAACTTGGCAAAGAAATGATTTTGCTACTAATGTATTCTTGTATACCCAAGAAACTGATAGCTCTCTAAGTCAAAGATAATCCATCCTACCATGTATATGTAACCCACAAACACACCACACGCACACACACACACACACATGTGCACACATAAATTGACAAAGTAGTGATTCTATACAGGAGAAATAAATGGAACTCTTTAAAGTGAGAAAAGATGTTGTTTTATCTCTTGGAATTGTTAATGTTCTATGACATAGTAATTCAGTTATTGAGCAAAAAATGTCAACAGTGACAGAAAAGAGAATAAGACCCTAAATTTAATATCTTGAACTGAGAGCATTGGAGTGAACCTTGACTTCTAAGAAATTGGTATCTCTCACAAACCACATCAGGAACAACTGCTGCAATTGAGAGACATAGAAAGTAGAACAGTGATTATTAGGGGCTGAGGAGAATGGGAGAAAGGGAATTTAATGCTTGATGGGTATAGAATTTTCCAAATGGGTGATGGAACTGGTTTACAAATATGATGGTTGTACAAATGGTGAATGTCATAAATGTCATTGAACTGTACACTTCAAAAAGGTTAAATGGCAACGCTAATATATTTACCACAGTGACAACAACAACCTATCAAAATGAAAGTGTGTGCTTACCCACATGAGAAAACGATGCTGGGCTGTTGAAGCATCCATTATTAGATACACCGTTAATAGGACAGATATCCCCAAAGGACAGGAAGTATGGATTCTCAGGGCTTAATCCATGACCTGTTACCCACTAAAGATGAAGACACCTATTTTTCTCTATCCCCACTTGCTAAAAATGTGTGGAGTGAGCCTTTCCCTTATTCTCCCACTCTGAAAGCAAGGACCAGGTGTGCTATAACAGAAAAGGACTAGGGTGCTAGGGTATCTCCAAGAGTGAGAATGGCCACACATTCCTGTTTCACACTAGGTTGGGATCCTCTAAAACATGAGGCTATACTCATGACCCTGTGGGGAGTTACCAGCACCTAGCCTACTCTAATGAAGCCATAAAAGCAAATTCTGTTATTTTATTAATGGACCAAGCTGTTCACCAGAGCTATGCCTTCTTTAGCTCCTCAAGTTAAAGCCCTTCCCCTGTTTCTCTTACTTTCTAACTCTGCCTAATAAATCTGCCTATGCCTCTCATTGACACATCCTGAAATCCTTTTTCTATGATAAATGTTGACAAATTTACTCTGTGGTGGGAAGAAGGGAGCAAGTTGGGGCTCCCATCTTCTCTTTGGCAGGGCTTCCTCAGACTCCATCCAGTAACTTGTTAATTTTGTGATTTCTATCAATTGAGCAAAAGAACCCTTGGCTGATTGGTAACATTTCCTTTAATTTGACTCATTCGCCCAGAAATATTTTACCATAAAAATTAAACAAAGAAAAATTCAGAGGAATACCTTTGTGACAATGTGCTCTAAACTGTAGGACAAAGTCAACTGTTTATTCTGCTGTGTCTACCTCCCTGGCCACATAACCACTAAACACCACTTCTGCCAATGTTTATGGGGCACCCGAGGGCTTCATTAATAAACACTTTGACTGAAAATGGGTAGTATTTGGTATCAACTCAAACAATGGAATGATGTGCCACTTGGTCCTTGTAGCGGGGTGATCCAGGGTGACTATTTTCCCAGAACGTGAGCACAGGGATGTGCTGAGAATTAGGGCTTCTCTATTTAGTCAGTTGGCGCATGCTATTTAAACATTTACTACCCTCCAGAAAACATTCTGAGGTTTGCTGTCTTCATCTCTCATACCTCAGGCACACATATCCCCACTGATTGAGAGAAATAGTCCCAAATATTTCCAGCAGCGTGAACATGAAGACACAAGGCATTTGTCTTATTCTCTTGGGTACAGAGCAGAGACATCTGATAGACTTGGTTGAGGTTATCTATTCATCCCTGAAATTAAATGTATAAACATTAATGTATAAACATTGTGTGTTACAACTTTTTCCATGTGGAGCTAGGGAGGAATTCCAAAAGGAAGGAAGGAAGGATCATATTGTTAGAAAAAAGAGGGCCATACAGATACATTCAAGTCAACACTAGCAGTGAAATTTGCCAGTTGTAGGGGGAAAACATCAAGAAGTGGCAAAATCCAGGATATACAGTCTAATATTTGCAATAAAAAGCCAGTAATATGGAGGGAGATTCAGAAACACTTGGATGGGATGAGGTGGCAGCTCACTGTCCACCATGACCACGATGACAGTCAGGGAAGAAATTGGTTAGTGGAGGCCATGAATCTGACAGAGAGCAGAAAGTCCCTTTGTTTCTCCACTTCTCTCAATCTTGCCCTCCCTCCAGATGCTCTTCACCCCACAAACACATATTACTTTTTGAGGGAGGGGCTTTGTCTTATTGTTATATCCCCTATACCTGGAATAGAATCTAGCAGGCAGTGAAAATTAGCTTTACAAATTATAGCAAAAGCAACTCTATCAGTCCACTTCATGATACTATGATGAAATAGCTGAAGCAATAACTTTTTAAAGAGAAAAGCTCATAGTTTTGGAAGTTCAAAGGTAGGTTGCCTGCTTATGCTCAGTTCTGGTGAGGGTGGTGGATGGTGGTACAAAATGGTGGGAGCAAGCATCAGAGTGAGCAACCAGGAAGCAGAGAGAGAGAGACAGAGAGATGAGAAAGATAGAAAAGGAGAGGAGAGAGAGAGAATGAGTAGTCTCTCACCATCCCCGAAGGCACAGCCCCCAGTAACCTAACTTCTTCCCACCAGGCCAGACCTCTTAAAGGCCCATGGTACCTCCCAATAGCACCACCCTCATGACCAAGTCTTTAACATAATGGGCTCTTGGAGGACATTTAAACAATGACCAGCTAATTGGGAAGTTAAGACAGGAGGCTCACAAGTTCAAGACGAGCCTAGACACCTTAGCAAGACCCTGTCTTGAAATAAAAAAGTGAAAAGATCTAGAATATACTTCCATGGTAGAGTGCTCCTAGCTTTGATCCCCAGTACCGCAAGGAAAAAACACCAGTTAAATAAATGATATCCCAAGCATAACAGCAACCTACTAAGAATGCAAAGTTTTTGCAGCCATCCATCTTCCATTAAGATCTACAGATCAAAAAAGATTCCTGTACTCTTCTCTGCTTTCTCAGTGTCCCAAAATTTTAGAATAACATGTCAGCATCTAAACCAAACTTATTCTTTGTCCTTTCTCACCTTTATCGTCAAGCAGAGTCTGAGATTTCTCCTACATGGTCAAACGGGAGTGTTATGGTTTAGCTCTAAAATGGCCCCCGAAGCCTCATGTATTTGGAGAGTGAGTGGATTATGGGATCATTACAGCAGACTTGCTGTTAGGAGGTGGGTTCTTGTCAAAATGAAGCAGGTCACTGTGGGTGACCTGGAAGGGTATATCTCTCTTCCCAGCTTCTTGCCTCTTTACTTCTTTCTTGTCTGCCATGAGGTGAGCAGCTTTTCCTCTGCCATGCCCCTCTGCCATCCTGTTTCTCCTCTGGAGGCAACCACCAATGGGCTGAAACATGAGCCAGCCTAAACCTCTCTTCCTTTAAACTGTGAGTATTGAGTCCTGTGTCTTAGGAATGAGAGAGGTAACCGAGACAAAGAGTTTACGAGCTGATGGGAATTCACTTCGTTTAACAATTCCTGGTCACAATTAAGATTGGATCATAGCAAGACAGAAACGTCAAGATGTGCAAACGCATGTGTAATGCATATAGGGATATATTTCTGTACACTTCAACCTGGGCAGGATATAAACTTCAGGGGAGTTATGTAAATTTTAGAATAACTGTTTAGGTTAGAGTTTGGAGCAATCTGCCAAGTAGACAGTTCTGATTCTTATGCATTTGCTGTGTATCCCAGGAACCAATGTTTTATGGCTTCTTTTAGAACATAAACTTGGAATCCCAACTGATAATAATTAGAGCTAACTGTGAAAGCCATTCCTGGTAACTTTACAGGTAATAAATCAATTAATTTGATCCATTACATATAATGGTTTTACTTTGTGAGGCTGTAGAATAGGAAATGATCTTTTAAGACACAGCTCCATTTTTCATGAAACATTCTGTCCTACAAATGGATGATCAATTCTTTTGATGGATTTGACATTCTTGTACTGAATATAAGTCTTTACTGTGATTTGTCAGGAAGATCCAAGAATCAAGTGATTCTATGCAGGATAGATTTAGCCCCTAGCTTTTTTTTTTATGCTTGTTCCTCTTTTTATCATCATAATGGATCCAAGATTATTCATGTCCAAAAGGAAATGTCATGCAGGAATAATGATGCAGAAGCAGTTTGCCTGATTTTCTTTATTGGTTTCTGTTTGTCTTGAAATAAGACTTCCCTTTGGCATTTCTTCCTCAGTGTAAAAATCTGGACAGGATTCTTTATTGAGGTGCAACATGGCAGGTGCCTCATGAAAGAAGACATATGTTTCATGAGTTTGGGTTGGACTTCTTGGGGTTGGCACAATTTCCAATACATGGAGTGGGGAGACAGCACAGTAGCTTTGGCATAGCTGTCCAGCTCTAGCTAGAAATGCATGCATCCTCCTGTGAGTCTGTCTTTGTGAAGCTCAGTCTTACTTTATATGAAAATTGTTGGTGTCATGAGACCCTTGGTTTGCAGTCAGTCTCCTTAACTGCCTTCCCTGACATTAATAATCTTTGCCATGTGTGTCCCTCGACTGTGTCTCAGACCCACAGAACCCACAGTTATGGGAAGGCTGACCATAAACATGCCACAGACCCTCCAAATCCAAAATATCCAAATGAATGTTCCACTTTGTTCCTGATTTGGTCCTCCACCAGCACACTGTAGGTCAGGGAAAAGTACTCCATCCATCCCAGGGACTGATTCCTCAATGTCCTCCCTCTCAACCCCTCATCCTGAAGGTACTGAAGTTCTTCCAGTTCCTTCCGAATTCGGTCCTGCAAAGGCCTGGGCCACAGCATCTCTCCAACATTGCCTGAAATGCTGCTATCATGCCTCCTCATTGTTATCCATTTTTTTCAGAGCAGCCTCAGCCCTTCTCCCTATGTGATCATATTAACCATGTTCTGCCCGAAACCTCTTTGTGGCTTCCCTCTGCTTCAGACATGAAGTTTTAGCTCTTGGGCACAAAATCAAATGCTCTTCCATGTCCACTCTGCAGCTTTTCCTGGTGATCAACCCCAGCAGAAGGCTGGTATAGGTCTCATCCTTGTCCCTGCAAGCCTTTAGTAACAGAAAGTCATTTTCTTAAAAATGTGGGAAATTATTCATAGATGTCTTAGTTACTTTCTCATCACTGGGACAAAATACCTGTCACCCACAACTTAAAGAATTGTATTTTGGCTCATGATTTTCAGAGGATTCAGTCCATAGTTGGCCAGCAATGAAACAGGAGGGCATGGTGGAAGAAAATTGCTCACATCATAGCAGCCAGGAAGCAGAGAGTGAAAGGAGGGGCTTGGGAGAGATTCATCCTTCCAGGTCACATCTCCAGTGACTCACTCCTTCCAACTGGACCCAGCTTGTAACATTACATTTAGCTATAAACTCATCAACCAATCTACTGATGAGTACAGCTCACTCATGATCCAATCACCTTCCAAAAGCCCAGCTTTTGAATTCATGAAATTTGGGAGGACATTCTAGAACTAAACCATTAGATTAACATTTTATTTTTCAGTGACTTATGAAACTGATTATCCCTTCAAATATTTCATGGATGGTTACGTGGGTCATCATTCAAAAAGGAAATGTGAGGCTTGGAGTGGAGCTCAATGGTAGAGCATGTATGTGTGTAGCATTTGCACCAAGAACGAAAGGAGTGGGGGAGGGAGAGAGAGAGAGAGAAGAGGAGGAGGAGGAGGAAGGATAAGAGTGATAAAGAAAATTATTATGACAAAGGCCATGGTTCAAACAATGACTCATGATATCCGAAATCAAATCCAGGGCTGGGTCCTACAGCCTGGAGGAGGATACTATAGATTTTCTCTGTATTTATTTCTGCAATAAAAATGATTTAATACTGAGCTGAGGTTCCATGAGATACCTTGTTTTAACTTAAAATGTGATCCATATATTCCTCAAATATGAGAAATCCAATAGTAAGGACCTCTTGGAAATTCTACACAAATCTGAATCATCCCCCAGATGTTTTCTGATTTGATATAATATGTATTAAAAGCACATACTTACGTATGCAAATATAGGTGCACATATTTAATCTAGGATGCTCCTGCCTGGAGAGAAAAATAAGAAGAAACCATCAGCCTCAGAAGTCAGGCATAGAGAAGAAATATTTCCAACCACTGACAGAAAAACACGTCTACAATGGAGAGTTTTAAATTCCATAGTGGTGCGGTGGTGCAGCCAGGAAGTGGTCTGAGACACACATGACATATTCAAATACAATAACAACGGTGCCAGGGCTGATTCATTATATTTCAACTGAAGGACTCACAAGTCCCATCTCCCAAAAGCAATTGCTGAGCACTTTTACCAATGACCTCCATCTCATTGGCTAGGCAATGGTGTTCCTGGACCAAAGGGAAGTTACCAATGGAAGTGTAATCATCTCAGCTTCAAATTTCTTGAAATTGAGGGAAGGGGAGTCTATTGTTGCACTTTTTAAGCTACGAGATATAAATAGTATCATTTTTGGTCTGATACAATCCGTTTGAAGGATTTTCAGTGGGAATGAAAATGACTCTCTGAAGGCTAGGAAATTGTTGAAAGGCAGGATTTTCTCACTTCGGGCCTTTACCCAATCTGCTGGCTTCAGCTGGAAATCACAGCTTGTCTTCGGCAGTAGCCAGTTCAATTGGAAACAGCCCGTTGAGACAGCACTCAATTTTATTGAGCTTAAATGGTGACAAAGTGAATTTAAATAAGTTTAAACAGAT